ATTGGAAAGAATTGGAGTCAGGTATATTTCAGATTTTGGAGGACAGGTACACACACACACACACACACACACACACACACACATTATTTATATATATATGTGAGTGCATTGCCTGCACGTATGTGAGTGCACCCATTTTGTACAATGCCTACAGACATATAGGTACACACACACACACACACACACATTATTTATATATATATGTGAGTGTATTGCCTGCACGTATGTGAGTGCACCCATTTTGTACAATGCCTACAGACATTAGAAGAAGGCATCGAATACCCTGGAACTGGAGTTAAAGACAGTTGTTTGCTGCCATGTGGGTGCTGGGAACCAAACCCAGGTCCTCTGCAAGAGCAGTCAGTGCTCTTAAGTGCTGAGCCATCTCTCTAGTCCCCTCTTTCTCATTTTGAAGACCCCCCCTGATATTATGTTGGACTCATCTAGATGATCTAAAATTATCTCTCTGTTAAGATCAGCTGATGACAGCCTTAATTCTCTTTGCCACATAACCTAACATCTTCCAAGGAAGTAACGTGGAGGCATCTTTGAAAGGCAGGTGTTCTGTCCACCCCAAGCTGCAGCACCACTGTGTATGCCCATCTTTTCCCAGGTTTCCAGTAAGCTGGTAGTCAGAAGGCAAACCCAATTCAGGTTCAGCTTTTAAGTCACAGTGGTGGTGTTTTTTTATTGTTGTCTTGCTTCTCATTTTTAACTGTTAGCAGCAACAGATGATTGCTGACTAGATCCTTGGACCGCTCAAGTTTGCGAAAGGCTTTGTCCCAATTCTATCAGTTGATCTTTGTTTGTTAGCATAAAGGAAAACAGGTGTCAGCAGCAGAGTCCACGATGGCAGGACAAATACCTAATTCTTGCTGCCAGTTACTGTGGTTCCATGTTTTTGTTTTTTGTTTTGTTGTTTTTGTTTTTGGGGGGGGGGCTCCTCATAGTTGCTACAGTGTTTGCATTTGTATGTGCATGTATGCATAAAATAACAAGCATGTATTAGAGACCAATACGGTATATTTGATGTTTGAGCATCATTATGAAGTCATAGATTTAGCCTCTTGTACCTTGATACGTTGCACCTATTGGCATTATTCGTAACCAGATTATCCTGTCTGGGACAGTAAGTACATCATCCAGTTGATTTACAAATCCTAATGACATGAGCCTATGCCTTTGATGACTTTCTGGCATTCTGGTAGGACAAGATAATCCAGGTTCACCTTGTATGTTTTCTGCCTTTTCTCTACCAAGCCTGGTTGTTTTAATAGGAAATGGTAATTAGCAACTGAAATTAGGGTAAAAAATGAAGTTATTACCATTTGATCATTATGTTTAGGATTTTTGAAAGGCAAAGCTAAAAGTGAGTTTTTGAAAATAAAATATATCATGAATTAGTGCTAAGAATTCCCACTCAAATTCAGTAGTATGAGATTTTTATTTACAGGTCAATGTAATTTTTGATGAAAAAGTATCTGCCTGCTGCTTTTCAAAAGAAATGCTTCTGTGGGTTAATCTGTACCAGGAAGCTGGCCAGGGCTGGGAAGGCTGCATTCAAGGGACAACAGCTCAGGACTTAGGGCTCACCATGACACGCTGCCGGAACTAGAAGGCCCAGCAGTGTTCACACCTGGATGTTCATCAGAACTGCTGAGGAAGCTCTTAGAGATAAAGTACCTTTACCAAAGACCAGTGAAATCAGTATCTATCTCAGGGGTGGAAACTAAGTACCTACTTCTGTCACAGCCATTTATGAGGAAACAGCAAGCAGGATATGATCAAAATCTAGCTGAGGTAGTCATGAGGACATTAATGCTTCCAGAAATCTTTTAGCAACAAACCTGTGTTTTGATGAGCTACATGCTTTGACTGAGATCACACAGCCATGGTAGATCCAAGTTTCTACAGCTTTGCACTGCCCTCCTCAGACATGGGTCTCATGAGGCACAGTGTTGCTCCTCTTCAGATTAAAAAGCAGTAGCATTGAGAGGCATTGTGGCAGATTTTCATCATACAGTGGCCTAAGAGATCCACTTCTTCTGTTGAGGTCAGCTAGCGTACCTGGAGCACAGCCTAGGTAGGTAGTCACAAATATAGTGCTTGGGCTAATTAGGGTCTGAAATTGAAGCTTGATCCAGTAAGTACAGGAAAGAATGGAATTTAGAGTGACTGCCAGAAGGAAGACCAACCCATCAAGAAGCAGAGCAGCTGGCAGCATAGAGTCCTGCATAGGACCAGGGACAACCTGGTGAGCGAGCACAGCATCCAGCATACAGGCAGTTTTCTGAGATGCTGGAAACAGCAGCTAGCTCTTTCCACCAGACATCAGTTGCTCTCTTTTAAAGTCAGGGTAGCACTCCACCTGCTGGAAGAGCTGACAAGAAAAATGAAGAGCTTCAGATAAATGAGACATGGTTTCTTCTTCCCCATGATTTCACGGTACACTGAAAAGACAAAAGGTTGTAGTTCATTCGATGAGAAAATAAACAAACCCTTAATAAAGTACTCCAGAGGGCTTCCCAAAACAGATGGTGTCCCTAGGGATTGGGCACTAGTAACCTGGTGGAAAGAATCCCTGGCCACTGGAGGCATAGACAAAGGAGGTCCAGCCCGCCTCCAATTAAGAGTACCAATGGTGTTAGTCATTTTGGCCATCAAACATTGGGCAGCTGAATGAAGGCTATTTTCTAGCCATTCTGTTAAGAAATACAAAGGCCACAGTTGTTTTCAGGGTGAGACAGAGCCGTCATCGTATATACTTAGAAATTAGATAGGACAGGCAGGCATTAGCTACAAAACAGGGAACTGTAGTTGGTATCAAGAAGAAACAAGTGTGACCTGCTGCCAAGTCCAGGAATATTGGGATACATTCCACAATGCCTTAAATGGCAGTGTCACACTGCACAGTCAGGAGAACCCACATCCTCTGTGTTCCCTAGGAAAGCATTCCTGCATATAAGAGCTAGCCTCTCAACTCATACTACCTGAATTCAGATTCCACTCACTCCACTTACTACCACATTACCTATCTCTCTGTGCCTTGGTTCTCTAACTTGGAAAATAGATGATAAGAGAAGTCTCAATTTTATAGAGAGCCTGTGGATTTTAAATCAGCACCTAGGACAGCTAGACATGCTGAAAACTTGCTGAGCATTCACTGTTTTTGCTGTTCCATTCATTGTCTTCAGTAATGTTCACTGCCACTTCTTATCCCATCAGTATTGCATCTGGACAGATGGGCTGAATGCACTGCTTGGGAAAGACATGATGAGTGACCTAACGAGGAATGACCTGGACACCCTTCTCAGCATGGAGATCAAGCTCCGCCTGCTGGACCTGGAAAACATCCAAATCCCAGACGCACCTCCACCCATCCCCAAGGAGCCCAGCAACTACGACTTTGTCTATGACTGTAACTGAAGTGGCTGGACCTGGACGCAGTCCTCCCAAACTGGAAGATGTAGCTAACCGCAGAGAGGAACACAAACACACCCACACCTTGGGACCATCTTTTGGTGGAGAGAAGCTGAAAATCAACTTTTCCTTTCGCCATACCTGTAGCCCTAGCTCTTTTCGACCCTTCTTGGCATCTCAGCATCTCCTTGAATCTACTTGCACACTCTCTGCTTTATTTAGATCACTTCCCTCTGCTACAGTTCCTGGTCGGACATGAGCAAAAGCCACCACTAGTACAAAAGCCAGAGTCCTCCCATTCTAATCCCTGGCAGGTTCCTTCCTTCCTTCCTTCCTTCCTTCCTTCCTTCCTTCCTTCCTTCCTTCCTTCCTTCCTTCCTTCAGAAAGCCAGTAGCCCCAAGCTACCCCAAATTTTCTACCTAAATCAAGAAAAATGCCCAAGGCCTGGGTTGAGCAGAAATGGCCCAGCTACTAGATGAGAAGACCAAAGGCCATCACCTCCTACCCCTTTTCTCTAGGGTCAGTTCACACCATTAGCTCCATGTAAGTTGAAATTCACATCTCCTGTCCTCCCCTTCCTTGCCTTGGCCTTTCCCTGGTCCTCTTTGGTCCCAGGAATAGCTGCTTCATTCTAGTCCCTGCCAGCATCAGGTCCCTGAAACAGTCCACAGAGCCTGTGCCTGCACTGTGACCATGACAACATGACCAACCTCTCCACCCACTAGCTAGTCTTGGGCTTCCTCTCCCTGCCCCAGCCAGACCTGCCTTTTTCATGTCCTCATGCTCCCAGCCTCTTAGCAGAAAGCACAACTGGAATCAGTAGTCATGCTCCATCTCTAATAGACTAAACCTAACCACCAGTATGGTGGCTGTTGCTATCCAAGGTTTTGGTGTCATCTCACCCTGGGGTTCCTACTGCAACCCAGGTTCCAGAGGATGATCAAGTGGTCAGACATCCAAGTTTACATCATTGTAATTATTACAGGTCTTTATAATTTGCAAGGGTTTGGGTTATTTTATGTTTTTGGTTTTCTGTTTTGTTTGGTTTGTTTTTTTTTCCCCTTTGGCTTTGTTTTTGTATAAAAGAGTCTAACATTTTTTGCCAAACAGATATATATTTAATGAAAAGAAAAGATACATAAATGTGTGTACTTTCCATTTTTTTAATTATTTTAATCCCGAACATCTTCCTGAGAATAACATTCCCTTACACATGCTGTGGAATAAAATTAAATGTGATGAGTTGGGGAGCTAGTGTTTTGATTTAGTAACTTGGGTACTTGTTACTCAGTCATTAGCATCATCTGGGAGCTTGTTAGAAATGCAAAATCAGACAGCCCCTCCAGATCTGAACTGGGGACTTTGAGTGCATGTTAATTTGGGAAGCACTGATCTAGAGGACTCTCATTGTCAGCTCTGAGCATCAATGAAATCATTTCGGGAAGCACATCTCAATTCACCAAGGAAATCAGACTCTCTATAAAAATATGATCTCTTTATTTTATATGGCTGCTTTCTTACCATACTTTCTCCATTACTGTTTTCTTCCTTACCATTATGTAATTTATAGAACCAGGATTAAAGATACCAGGACACCGAGGGAGCATATTGAACAATGAAAAAAAAAAGAAGAATATAAACCCACATACATGAATCAGTTAAACCCAAACTAAATAAATAGAACTATGAATTAATAAGTTACAGCAAGAGAACAACAAGATTTTTCTTATGTCAGCTCACCTGGAAGCATCATAGGGATCATAAGTTCTAAGAGCAGGGAGGGGTGGCCAAAGGGGCCAAACACACAGAACTCAGTGTCCTGCAGCCAAGCCACTCTTAATGCACCGCACAAGCTATACATGCATGCAGGTGAGTGTTCTTTATGGCCAGCGGGATGAGCGAATACAAATTGGCCTGAGTTCAGATGACATAGTCTGGAGTGCTCCATAGATTGAAAAATCCATGGTTGTTCACAGAGGTCATTCTTTCCACCAGCGTGACCACACCTGAGTGTCAAGTGACAATTATTCCATCATTAAACTTGGATATTATTCACATGCATGTCCTTTCTGCCAGAATCATCTGTCGTTCCACCTGCATTATGATAAAAATAAGCATTAGGTAAAATAAAGCAGACAGAGGCGTACTACATAGCACTTTTTACTTTGAGGTTTAAGAAGTCCATCTGTCTAGTGACCCTGGCTGGGAGGAATCAGTCGTCTGTTCTGGCATTCCTTCTTTTTCTATTGAATAGAAATGAATACTTCAGGGACTTTTTTCCTTTTTTCTTTCCATTGACACATATTCATGGTAAAATGTGGAGCTTTGATTCCTGTGTACACTGAGTAATGATAAAATCAGGGTAATTCTTATCTCCATTGTCTTAGCCTTTTATCACTTCTTTACAGTGAACACTCAGCATCCCCTCCTCTGCCTGTCTTGGGATAGATAGCACTATGTGAACTATATTCAGTTCAACCTTCTACGCCAAACACCCCCAGAGCTTATCCCTCCTAGCTAAAAGTATCATTGAACCCACTGACCCACAGAGCTATACCCCTCTTCTCAGCTCCCCAACCTCTGGTAACCACTATTCTACTCTCAACATCTGTGAGATCCATTTTTTCATATTCTCCAGCTGAGTGAAATCACAGGATGTCTTGTATTGCTGTTCCTGACTTATTGCATTTAACATAGTGTCTTCCATTCCCATCTATGTTGTTGTTGCAAGTGACTGGATTGATCTTTTTATGGCTGCATAATATTTCTTCATGAACATATTTTTTAAATTATTTATTTAATAACCATATAATTAGAAGAAGCATTTCATTACAACAGCATTGATATATTCAATAACAATTTCCAGAGCTAAGATGCATCTCTTTCAAAATTGGCTGTAAATTTTTAGGTTTACACTTGAATTGATACAGTTACACAATATTGTACTCCATATAAACACTATAAGAAATAAAATTAAATGAGGTTTTAAACTTTAAAAAAATCTCCATTTCATTATTAGTTTCATACAGAAAAATTCATTTTTAATACAACTGACACTAAGATGCACATGGGTTTCTAATCTCTATATATCTGATTTTTACTAGTCACAGTCAGTTGTTTTCTGAGCTCCTTGGCATCTGAACATGGATATAAAGTCATCAAGTAGATTTCAATGGTAATGTTTTTCACATCTACTAATTATTAAGGAGCAAATTTTTATGCTTTGAAGAATTATTTTTCTTTTTTTAAAATTTATTTATAAACCCACTTCTCAGGTAGCACCCTCCCATAGCCTCCCTCCCCCCACTGGAGCCCTAATACTCTGATATCCCTGCTACTGTCTGCTGTGTTGTCAGCACCCCCAGCTATTCCCCAGTACTTGCCCTTCTGGTGATTCTAGTCAGCCTATCCAGAGGTCTTTGTTTTAGGAGGGTCAGCTGTTACTCATCTAGCTGTAATCAGTTGTCTATAGTCCTTTGGATAAGATTGGGGTCTTCTGTTCATTTTCCCAGTTCTATGCTGGGTTACTATCTGGGAATCCCTTTGGCCACCCTGGCCAACAACTCAAAAGAAGGTATTA